CCGTCTGGTGATGCCGCACCCCCTGAAGGAACATGCTTCGGGGCTACTTGTGTGAATATGCGGCCACGAAGGGGTGGTGGGCGCCGCTGTCGGCGGCACACAAGGGGATCGATTGGACGGAACAGGCCTGGACTGGCTGACGACATCGCAGCTATGTCGATTCGAGATAAGAGGTGCGTCGTGGGCTGGGCAGAGACTCAGGAGCGTGGGATTCCCCCCCTTAGCCATTGTGTAATGGAAACAGCGAGTGCCCGCCGTGGAAGTTTCTCTCTCATGGTTCTGGACTCTTGTTCCGCAGGTCTTTTTTCTTGTTGCCTCCGCTGCCCCCCCTGGTTCGTGATGGATGCCCTTTGAAGAGTTTTCTCCTTCGTCTGCGCCGAGTGGTGGCGTCGTGAAGCATGGCCACGGTACTGCGGGCATGGGCATTGGCAAAAAAGGGGGCTGGCCCTCTCAACTCGGGGTCGATTTGGAGAGCGGCCGATTGAGAGCGGTCATCTGCAGCAGCATGCGTATACAATGGGCAGAGATTTACAGACACAGGGAAGGGGAGATGCGATGGAAACAAAGAAGAGGAAGCGACGGATCAGGGAGCTACGGCTACGGCTACATGTGATGGTATCGCGAGATGAACGAACGCCGGTCGCGTGCCTATGTGTCTCACAACGCCCAATCCCACGCGGGCTGGACGAATAAGGGCCGTCCCAACAACGCTCAAAAACCTGTATGCAACTGTTATGCCTACAGGGACTAAGGTACTACTCTGTGAACGGTGTGAGGGCCTCGGCTCAGTAGCACGCCCCCCAGTAAGCAGAGCGAAAGTTTCCTTTCAAAGCTTTGTACGGTAAGTGTGAGTGAGCAGGGAAGTGAGGAGGGCGGGCGAAGAAGCTCTGCAACCTCTGCAGAAGCTCTGCAACCATTAGCGTGGCGGGTTGAGGGGGTTGCTGGAAGCTCTGCAGAAGCTCTGCAAGTGTTGTCTGGCGCCTACCGTAATGATCATTCTCAACCATCCATCACCCACCCCCAACCCCTCCCATCCTTTTTTTGTGTTTTTTTTCTTCCCCCGGTCGGCCACCCCCTCTTTCTCTCAACTAGTGTTGTCGGCCTCATCCTCGTTCAAAATGGATGGGTTGCTCCTTGGAAATTGGGGGCGCATCTCTTCATGGTGGATCGACAACTCCACGCCCATTACATCCATATTACACGGACGAGAAGGGCAGGGAAAAGACCCTTGCGGAGCTCGCGCATCCTGCGAGCTGCATCCCGCGTCAACATGGCCGAGCTGGCCCCAGAAAAACAAAAGACAGACCGCACTGGCAGACGATAGTTCTGAGGGCGCAGATGCCGAGTATGTGCCGTTGCTCGTCAAAAGGGTCGAAGGATGCAGGGAACGCGGCGTGGTGCAAGCCGGGAAGAATGCTGCTTGATGGAGTTTGTTGGAGTGCTCTGAAGTAATAAGCTGGAGCAAGCTGGAGCCGGTCTCCACCGGCCGACACACGTTCCGCCGCGGAACCTCTCCATTGCTTGATTGCCCAGCCAGAAAACCATGAGATTTCATCAGATTCCCGGTCAATCCCCAGCGGGCGTACCCACGCATTTCCCGCATTTACCCTACTGCACTGCGTAGTTCTATGCAGTACAGGACCAGGCAGGCCGCAAGACCAGGCACTTGGCCCTACTGGGTAAATGGAGAATGAAGAGTGCTTCGAGTTACAGAGTTTTCCATACAACTCGTGAGAGGTACCTACTCGTCCAGTGTTTTTTTCCCAGCCGACAAAAGCGGGCTCCGACCCTAGTGCTGCTGGGCGTGGATTCGGAGAGCTGCAATTGGAGAGCCGGCTTCGGGTCCTTGTCTTACTACACGCACTACACGTCATAGCACAAGGTTTTGCAACGAGACGCCTCCCAGGTACAGAGCAGGAGTACTGGTCCGTACCGAACGAGAATCGTCTGGTCTCCGGATCAGGTACCTCGCCGGCCACAGTCGACGGCGTTTTCGCCGCCTCAGCCCGTGCTTTTGCCCGCGTCGAGCTGCTGCCCGCGCTGGATGCGGTACTTTCGTCTCACCTCGCCTCTACCTCTGCCTCTACCTCTGAGCAGCCTCTCGAGTGACTTGCAGCCGGGTGGGTTGAGTGGGAATCTTCGGTCTGAAAGAGGGGCGGGCGCGTTCCATGATCCGTGGCCAGACGCAACATCGACGCCAGTACCAGCAGTAGCGAACCCAGACTACGGATACGTAGCTACATTGGCTCGACGGACGGCTGTCGGCCAAGGCAGTCGGCAAAGGCAGGAACCCAAGGAAGAAGTTACTGACACTGGGCGGTCGTTCCATGGGAAAGCGTGGGCGACATGTGCGTGAAAGGCGACAAGTGACTGCCCGTCGGCGGCAGTGGGAGTGGGAGTTGCAGAGCTTCGGGCAACCCAGAAGGCAACGTGAGAGGCGAGCTGGACTGGACCATGAAGGAGCTCTTGGACAATTTATAGCCCAAGCCCGCACTCTCTTCCCTCCCTTGACCTTCCTGTCTCTCTCGATTTCGCCATCGATACCTGTTCTGTCGACATATCACGATCTCTCCCATCATCTCCAATTGTTGCTTAGCCCCAGCAACAAGAGCTTCTCACAACGGCTGACAGCTGTCTGCGTAATTGATTGCTACCTGCAAGTTCCAATTCAGCCTCTGCAACAAACTCGCGGATCCCCTGTTCCGCCCGCCCGCGCCAGCCCAGCTCTGTGCGGCAATTTGATCTTTCCCATCCAGATTCCCCATCTTCGCGGTGAGGTGCTTCATCATGGCCATCACGCCTTCGAAGCCAATCTTCTGTGCGACCCACCCCCGGGCCTGCTCTACCGCCTTTGAGAGGGTAAATCATCCCCCCAAGAAACCACTGAACGAGGGACCGGTGCTGCTTACGCTGCCCGGATTCTGCATTCCGAGACAGGACGGCGAGCACGCAATCGTCCGGCGGCGGCCCAGCAAAAGAGAAACAAGGTTCAGGGTCCTGAATCGTGGGAGCAGCCGGGCGAATGGTGTTGACAATCGGTCGTCTCTCGTCCCAAAATCTCCATCTCCCGCTCCCCCCATCCCCTCACCCTCACCCTCCAAAACTTGCTAAAGGGAAAAGCTTGGCTGACCATGGCTTTTTGACATCACAGGTGTTCATGGCCCGCCGGGACAAGCTGGCGTGTGTCCATGAGCCTTTTGGCGATGCGTTCTACTACGGCCCCGAGCGCATCGGTGAGCGTTTCGAGAACGACGCCGATGGCAGGGAAAAGTCTGGCTTCGCCGAGACGACGTATGCCGACGTGCTGAGCCAGATTGAGGAGGCCGGCAAAGAGGTTTGTGCCCTTTCTTCTTTCTCTCCCATCATTTCGTTCCTTCTGCTCGATCGATCGCCCGCGGGGCGTCAGCAATCCCTAGTATCCCTCCACCCCTGCACTTTGTTTCCTTAGGGGTTGCAGAAGCTCTGCAACCTGCAAACCCGCAGTTCACCCCCATCAATTCGTGACTTGCCATCCCCCATCGGAAATCGATCCAATTTTCGGTCGCAGAGGCTCTTTGCACCTCGAAACAGAGCTTCTCGAAATTCCCAATTGATTTAAGCTGAAGCTCGGTCGGCTGGGGCGGGTCTGCCGACCGCCCAGGGAAGCTTTGTGGTGCAGCCACCAACTGTACCGGGGGTACATCCTCCACTGGGCTGAAGGTGTCTCCCCCACACTGGACGACCTGACGGCCCCGGGGGAGCTTCCAGCGGCCTCCCGGCAGAACCGCCGCCGACCAACCAGACGCTACCTTACCGCAATAATGCGTGCCATCGATAGCTGAGATCAATATCGCTGACTTGGTGACAGGGCGGCAAGCGCATCTTCGTCAAGGATATGGCGCAGTACCTGATTCCTTCCAACGGAGGAAAGGCCGCCATTGTGCCCTCGGCCGGTAACGCCCCTGAGGCCGGCAACCCGACGGTGCTGCCGATTGAGACGCTCCGCAAGTTCCAGTGGACGTTCCTCATTCGGCACCCGCGCCGCTCCATCCCCTCGTACTACCGCTGCACCGTCCCGCCCCTGGACAAGATGACTGGCTTCTACAACTTCATGCCCAGCGAGGCCGGCTACGCGGAGCTGCGCACCCTCTTTGACTTCCTCGTCAAGGAGCGCATCGTCGACGAGAGCAACCTGCTCGTCGTCGACGCTGACGACCTGCTCGACGACCCCGAGGCCATCATCCGTGCTTACTGCCAGCACGTCGGCCTCGACTTTACTGACAACATGCTCAACTGGGGCGAGGAGGACACCAAGATCGCCCAGGAGAAGTTTGCCAAGTGGACTGGTTTCCACGAAGACGCCCTCGGCAGCACCTCGCTGAGGCCGCGCAACAAGGCGCATGTAAGTCACCGTATCCCCTCCGCAGTTGCTCTCTCAGCCCCTGCCCCGGAGGAAAATCCCTTGGACGTGGAAGGATGGAAAATCCCCTGCCGTTGTGGTTTGCCCATCCGGGGCACGCTGGACGGCGGTCTGTGTATACTACGCAGCATGCTAATTCCCCGCGAGAAAAAGGTCATCACCCGTGAATCCGAAGAAGCCGAGTGGAAGCAGAAGTTCGGCGACAAGGGTCTCAAGGAGATCCGCGAGTGCGTCGACGCCAACGTCAAGGATTACGAGTATCTCAAGAAGTTTGCTATCCGGGTTTAACTGTGTGTGCTTGTGTGTGTGAGAATCATTATTACGACGTTGATGACAAAGAGCATTATCACGAACTGTTTGGTTTCTGGGGTCTTTGGGTTCTGAAAGGGAAACGCGTTTTATACGCTCAAGGGGTTTCGGTTTATCAGGGGTCATGCAACCATACGTATTGGTACAATAGTCTACATGGAGAGCCGTCTTAGCCACTCTAACGGGCTGCGGATGGCAACTAGTAAAAAAACAACATGGACGTCCTTTTACTTCAATGTACAGGTTTTTGAATACTCATCCGTGATTTTGACACGTCTATCCATCCGCCTCCTCACGGCTTCGATTCGGCCTTCTCGTTCTTCTTCTCCTCCGGGATCGTTCTGTCCTCGCCAACCGCCTTCTTCTTGCCCCCCTCCCTGAACTCCGCGGGAATGTCGTCCTTCACATCCTGATACCTGTACTTGATGTTGTCCTTGGCGGCGGGCTTCTTGACGTCGGGCTTCTTGCTGGCCGCGGGGGCCTTCCGCCGATACACCTCAAGCAAGCGCACAGCGTCGTCGAAGAGCTTGTGCTTGACGTTCTCCGACCAAGAGCTCGCGTAGTTGCGGTCGGCGTCGACGGCCCAGGTCACCGTCACCGGCAGGAGTTTCGCATCATTGTTGAGCTCCTTGAGCGTCTTGAGCTGACCTGCGAGTTTCATGCGGTAGTCGAGCCATTTGCGGCCCTGCAATCTACCTTTGACCCTGTCGCCTCTTCGCACGAAAAGGCGGTTGCCGCGGCCCTTGCCGGCGAGGACGGCCGCCATGTCGGCGATGCTGTTGGCGTACTGGTCGTTGAGCCTCTGGCCGCGCTCGAATTTGTTGAGAACCCTGCGCCGCTGCTTGACCCGGAGGGCGTCCTTACCAGGGAGCGCTTCGGTTTTTACTACATCGAAGCGGAGGCTATCGTCCCAGCACAGCTCGTGCATTTTGCGGAACTCGCGCAGCTTCTGGAAGACGGACTGGCCCGCGGCGCCCGCGCCCTTGGGCAGCTGGATCATGGCCATGGGCTTCCAATAGTCTTTGCGGAGCGCCGCAGGTCGGAGTTTCTTGCCGTTGAACGGGAGCTGGCGGAGCGCTCGGTGGGACTGGCAGACGGCGTGAATTAGCATATTTTGGGATTTCTTTGCTGGCCGTGATACTTGGGGATGGGGGGCAGCAGCAGCAGCACTTCTGCAAACGAGTCGCTCATTGCTCCGCCATTGCGATTGCTCATTGTCAACCCGTCTGCCAGGCTAATGAAAAGCGTACCTCCATGATCTGCGAGTGGGAGTAGACGACCTGTCTCGTGAGCTGGTGGCTCCAGACCCAAATCTGCTCGCCGTGGCCCTCTGGGAATTTGGCCAACTTGTATTGTGGCCTCTGCCGCTTCGGCATGAAGTGGCCATGTCGAATGCTTGTCCTCGAAACGCCGATGGACAGCTGTGAAAATCTGTTGGAGAGCGTGGCCGGTAACATTGTTGCGTCGTGCGCCGTCGCTTTCGGGGCACCGGCGGTGGGCTTGTCGTGGATCGTCGTCGCCGTCGTTCGTCGTCGTCGTCGTCGGCCCCAAAACTTCGGCGTAGCTCAACCTTGCAAAATTTCCCCAAGCTCTGGAATCGGGTCGCGCGACCGCTGTGGCTGATGTGGCTGGTGGCTACCACAAGTTGTACTATCTGCGGCTTGCCTACCGTGGTCACATGACCACGGTGCGATCGCTCCTATCGATAGATGATAAGATAGACACTCAATCGATAGGACGATTAGATCCGGAGTGGGCCCAGCGGGCCCGCGCCCAATGCGACCCCGCGATTTGGGCTTGGTGGTGCACTGATTCCAGTGACGTCGCGGGACTTCCACCAGGTTCTGGTCGCTGCCCTACAACTCCCGGCCTTACCAGACGATGCTCGATCAGTCCATTCGACGGCCCACTCTTCCCAGTTTACAGCCTCGAGAAGCTTCAGTCTTTGGGCATAAATTCAGAGACTCGAACCGACTTTCGACGACTGTTTTCACTCTTCACCAAGCTTAATACAACACAACACAAAAAAGATACCCCAGTTGATGATAGACTCTTCAACTTGAAGCCTCACAATTTGAGCTTCGCAACGAAACAACAAACCTACCTACCTACCTTTCTACCCTACGCTTTAATTACAACGCAACAACACAACACAGTCGTTACACACAACAACAACAACCGCCATCATGAATTCACGAATGGAATTCACCGACAGAGGCGAGAAGGCCGTCCAGGACGCAATGGCCCTCGCAGAGCAGTACGCCCACTCGCAACTGCTCCCCGTCCACCTGGCAGTCTCGCTGCTCGACCCTCCCGCAGACCAGTCAAAGGACCAACAGAACGCGCCGCCGCCGACGTCCTCGATGTTCAGACAAGTCGTCGAGCGCGCCCACGGCGACCCGCAACTCTTTGACAGAGCCCTCAAGAAGACCCTCGTCCGCCTGCCGAGCCAAGACCCGCCCCCGGACCAGGTCTCCGTCGCACCCACCTTCCACGCCGTCTTGAGGAAGGCGCAGGAGCTCCAAAAGACGCAAAAGGACTCCTTCATCGCCGTCGACCACCTCATCCAAGCCCTCGCCGAGGACCACACAATCCAGACATGCCTGAAGGAGGCCAACGTCCCCAAGCCGAAGCTGGTGCACGATGCCGTCACGCAGATCCGGGGCACGAAGCGGGTGGACAGCAAGAACGCCGATACCGAAGAGGAGCACGAGAACCTGGCCAAGTTCACAATCGACATGACGGCCATGGCCCGCGACAAGAAGATCGACCCCGTCATCGGCCGAGAGGAGGAGATCCGCAGAGTCGTGCGCATCCTCTCCCGCCGCACAAAGAACAACCCCGTCCTCATCGGTGAACCTGGTGTGGGCAAGACCACCGTTGTCGAGGGCCTGGCCCAGCGAATCGTCAACCGCGACGTCCCCGACAACCTGAAGGCCTGCAAGCTGCTGTCGCTCGACGTCGGCGCCTTGGTGGCCGGAAGCAAGTACCGCGGAGAGTTCGAGGAGAGAATGAAGGGTGTCCTGAAGGAGATTGAGGACTCCAAGGAGATGATTGTCCTCTTCGTCGACGAGATCCACCTGCTCATGGGTGCTGGCTCCTCCGGTGAGGGCGGCATGGACGCTGCCAACCTGCTCAAGCCCATGCTTGCCCGTGGTCAACTGCACTGCATCGGTGCTACCACCCTCGCCGAATACCGCAAGTACGTTGAGAAGGACGCTGCCTTCGAGCGACGTTTCCAGCAGGTGCTGGTGAAGGAGCCGACCATCGGTGAGACTATTTCCATCCTCCGTGGTCTCAAGGAGAGATACGACAGACACCACCGCGTCACCATTCTCGACAACGCCCTGGTGGCCGCCTGCAACCTTGCCGGCCGCTATCTCACCTCCCGCAGACTTCCCGACTCCGCCATTGACCTGGTCGATGAGGCCGCCGCCGCGGTGCGCGTCGCAAGAGAGTCACAGCCCGAAATCATCGACTCTCTCGAGCGCAAGCTGCGCCAAATCATGATTGAGATTGCGGCCCTGGAGAAGGAGAAGGATGAGGCATCCCAGACCCGTCTGGTCCAGGCCAGAAAGGATGCCAAGAACGTCGAGGAGGAGCTTGAGCCCCTGCGCCAGAAGTACCTCTCCGAAATCAAGAGAGGTGAGGAGATTCACCTGGCCAAGCTTAAGCTCGACGACCTCGAGAAGCGCCTTGAGCAGGCCATCAACGACGGTGACCACGCCAAGGCCGCCGACCTCCAGTATGGCGCCATCCCCGAGCAGCGCGCCGTCATTAAGGAACTTGAGGCCAAGAAGGCTGCCGCCGACGCCGCCCTCAACGCCTCTGGTCAGGACCACGGTGCCATGGTCACTGACGTTGTCACGGCTGACCATATCAACGACATTGTGTCCCGCTGGACTGGCATTCCCGTCACCCGCCTTAAGACGACCGAGAAGGAGAAGCTCATCCACATGGAGAAGCAGCTCGGCAAGATCGTTGTTGGACAGAAGGAAGCCGTCCAGGCCGTCTCCAACGCCATTCGCTTGCAGCGGTCTGGTCTCAGCAACCCTAACCAACCACCCAGCTTCCTGTTCTGCGGTCCTTCGGGTACCGGTAAGACTCTCCTGACCAAGGCTCTTGCCGAGTTCCTCTTCGACGACCCCAAGGCCATGATCCGCTTCGACATGTCTGAGTACCAGGAGCGTCACGCCCTCAGCAGAATGATTGGTGCTCCCCCTGGATATGTGGGACACGACGCCGGTGGCCAGCTCACGGAGGCCCTCCGCCGCAAGCCCTTCTCCATCCTGCTCTTTGACGAGGTCGAGAAGGCCGCTAAGGAAGTACTCACCGTTCTTCTGCAGCTCATGGATGACGGCCGCATCACCGACGGCCAGGGCAGAGTTGTCGACGCCAAGAACTGCATCGTCGTCATGACCTCCAACCTGGGTGCTGAGTACCTCACCAAGTCCACCAACCGCGACGGCAAGGTCGACGCCACTACGCGTGAGCTCGTCATGAATGCCCTCCGCTCCTGGTTCCTTCCCGAGTTCCTCAACCGCATCAACTCGACCGTCATCTTCAACCGTCTCACGCGCCGTGAGATCCGCAAAATTGTCGACATCCGCCTCATGGAGATCCAGAAGCGCCTGGAGAACAACGGCCGCAAGGTCTACATTGACGTTTCAGAGGAGGCCAAGGACTACCTGGGCAACGCAGGCTACTCACCCGCCTACGGTGCCCGTCCTCTGTCTCGCCTGATCGAGAAGGAGGTGCTCAACAAGCTGGCCATCCTCATCCTCCGCGGCAACGTCCGCGATGGAGAGAACGCCCGTGTGGAGCTCATCAACGGCAAGATCACCGTCCTGCCCAACCACCAAGACAGCGAGCTCAACACCGACGACGAGGACATGGACGAGGATGACGCTGTGGATGAGCTCGGTGCCGAGTCGATGGACGAGGACATTTACGACTAAAGGGGTTACAACAGAACCGAGACTTGAAGCAAGGAAGAAGAAGACAGCATGGGATGATTCACGAAGTATGATTGCAAAGGAATAATGTAGATGTTTCATTACTCTAGAAAGCAGAGGCGTTTTGGGATCAAAAGGGACAAAGTCTTTTCGAGAATGGAAAGGGATTACATACAGTAAATAGGCATAGACCTCAAATAAGTTCAATGAAAAAAGTTGAAAATGTAATGTTCAATGGTTTCTCCATTGCTGGTGATGACTGCGATATGAGTGCTACATCACACACCGAAGAACAGAAATATTCAGACAGGACGAGGCCAATGTGAATTCCCATCTTTCTGTACGGACATGGACACCCAGATTTGCCGTATAGACCCGACTTTGTGGCGACAAGACACGGCAGAACGGAAGGGGACTTGATCCCATCGCAGATCGCCATGTCGATCAACAGACAACTCAGAACCTTTCTCCATATGAACTCTTGGTGTCGACTTGTTGAGGAAGTTTCACAGCCCACCCTGTAAGAGGGTACACAGTAGGTCAATACGGTAAGAGCGCTTCAGCTGGTGCTTCGTCCAGTAAGCAGATCGCAGTAAGTGGCTCGTGGTATCGACTTAGGACGCGGAATCAGGCAAATACATTCCAATACGCATCAGACAGGTCGGAGCACCATCCCACTCTGACCATCCCCAACTCAGTAGTTTCCATAGCATTCCGTCGCGACCGAATCAGCCCGCTTGCTCCAGACTTGCAGTGGAAAGAAGTAGTAGACAGCTTCCGTTCAGTTCTATTGCAGGGGCCCGGGACCTGCAGCGAAGGGCCAATCCCAAGAATGACGTCAACCCGAACCAAAGCTTCCTCGATGGCACTGTCGCGCGGCCCGTCTGGAATGGTCTGATGTTAGTTGGCGAGACCATGCGACCTCGAAAAAATAACAGTTCCATAGTATGGGCACTGGCACAGATAGAGAGCGACATTGCAAGAGACAGAAGGCATTTGGGACGATTACGGCTGGGGAGGACTGCCCAAATGGCACACTCCCCCGCGCCTATTTACAGACAGATGTGACGCCGTCATGAGCCTCGACGGGTGCGGCATCATCTTCGAAGCCCGTGGTTGGTCACTAAAGAGCTGCAGAGAGCTATTCACAGCATCTGTGGCTGTTTCACAAAGCCTGGGCTCGCCAGTATTTCGGGATCGATCCACGTCTTCGGGTTGTCAAGATATCGCCCGGGGGAGGGGGGTTTGAACGAACCTGACGTTTCAACTACGACCTACCCACGGGCTGTTGTCCCGCTGATCAGCAAGTTGTAGGAGAAGAGCCACCGTTTGTTTGGTTTCTGTTTTCTTCTTTTGTGATTTTCATCGCCGGGATTGGGTAGTATTCTGCCCGTCGAACGCCATGCAGCTGCGGTGCCACGGATTGGCCATCGTTTACGACCTCGTTGCCAACTTTGCGTATTCGTGAGATCTGCAAACCTGGCCGTGGGATGGCGGGAGAG